CTTAATTCAGTCAGTTACGTCATAATCAACGTAAAGCATGGTACAAACGTAAGGTGACCCAAGTTGTCATGCAACATCAGAACAACAAAGCGGAATCAACAAGATATGGTTCGAGAATATGGCTCGAACAGACAATGTGAGATATATAAAGTAATAATGGAACTCCAGGTTTAGAGTAAGATGAGAACCGAATGTTTTTAAGCTATGTATTCCAAAGTCTTAAACCACCAATTGCGGTTGTCACATCGACTGTTGAGCCAATACTTTCAAACTATAACGAAACAGTTATGTCGTATCCCCTAGTTTTAAATTGTTTCTCAACTGATTTCAGTCCATGAGAAAACTACCTCTAGTTTGAACTGACTGATTTCCGGAGGTAATTCTCGTAGTTCTAGTGAAAAGCCGTGATCAGTGGAGTTCAACCATGTCGGACAGGAGTCAGTTTCAAACCAACAACATTGGAAGATGGTTCAGCTACATCACGAATAGTTCGAAGTCCCCGGTCAGTGATCTATAGATTAAGCACTACCCGCTTGACCTGAAGGCTCTGTGTTCGATCCCCGTTGGGGTCATGAATGAGCACTAGTGAAGAGACTCACACCAGTACCTCATGGTTCCAATAGTTTAACCAAAATTAATCCGTGGTGTTAACCATAGAATCCAACAATTTCCCCAACCTCCCTACTAAGTAATGAGCTGACCTCTGACAGTTACCTGACTAGAACGATAACTACTTGTCATGAAGTGAATTACTTTGAAATACAGGTGATAGCTTCGTCTAAAATTACTCACCAATATTAATATCGTGCTTAATAAATGTTTGCAGACTGTATTTTGTTTGGTATATTCCAAACACTTAGCGGATGACTTTTGTCTATAACCCCATTTTGGCTGTATGAAAAAGTACAGTTCATTTTTCAAAACGTGATTCTTTTAAGATTACTAATTACACAAATTACTTGTTAGATTGGTAAAAAAAATACGGTAATTCAGCAACTTTGGTTCAGCTATTGAAAGATGATATGATCACAGTTGTGAAAACAATCGGTGCGGATTTTCGGATAGTTCTTTTTTATAAGTATCCGTCAATCAACAAGAGACATTCGCAATCACATCTACCTGTAATTCAAAACGAGAATGTCTATGAATTATCCATGATAATATTGCCATGTAGGTAACAATATCACTTATTCGTACGTATATGAATAGATCGATTTCCCTTCAAAACACATGAACGCACTATTCTCAGAAATAGAGTTTATTATCACATATTCCAAATGTGACATAGAATCAATAGTAAATATAATTTCTTTATGGAATTTTTCTGCTACAGGTACTATCAACCTCTTGAAGCTGGAAAAGATGGACAATTAGTACAAGATGTTAAAGGTGCCCTATTTACAACTGAACATAAAGATGAGAATGAAGCCAAGTGCATCAAGCGACGTATCAAAATAGCTAAATCATATGGTCAGTTCATGCAAGGATATTATGGCAAACCTAAAGGACAGGATTCTGTAAAGTCAAGTCAAACACAGTTAGACAAAAACATGGGAGAATTCACGCCTAATACAGATACCGAACAAGTGCGTTTCAATATATATCTCTAAAATTGATTCCGATTTTTCCTAAATTGCTGAAAATAATACCTAATGGAAGATTTTGCAATTTATTTGTTTATTCATTAGTGTTACTGGTCGGTCATAAAAGTTAATGAATTTTCGAGTCTCTAAAGGCTAAAGATCACAGTCTAATTGGTTTATACAGATACATAAATATGCCATAAATTTATATATATATATATATAATTTATTTGGACACATGAATATTGGTACAAGAGAGCGCCAATATATATGCGCCACACAAAACAATGAAAATTCGAGAGGAATACAAAGAAAGAAAAAAAAAGCTAAGGAGCGCAACAAAAAAAGAGAGAACAATAACGAAGAGGTTGGTGTAAGGTAATGTGCTAGTAATCAGGGAACGCAAAGGTACAATCGGAAGAAAACTTTGAGGTAAGGGAGACAGAACCACTTTTTATGAAGAAAGTAAAAGAAGGTTACAGCAGGATCGCCACTGGCTTCTATTCTGAGCCATATCTGATAACGTCTCTGGCCACTGTGTAGCACCATCTCTCAGACCCCAACCAGGGAGTCGTGAAGGACCAACACAAGCCAGTCCTTTGCAGCTTTCTTTCATGCCACGACACCATGTCATGCACTGACCACCTCTCCACTTCTTCCAACCAGTCCCAGAGTCGGCAAATAATGCACGACGTGGAATTCTCTGGGACGACATTCGGAGAACATGTCCAAGCCACCGAAGTCGGTGTTTCAAGATGGTGACACCAATTGAATTATCATCTCTGTGTCCGAACACACGATGCCCAACCTCTGCATTACTGACATGGTGTTGCCACTGAATGTCAGCAATCCTTCGGAGACAGCGATGATCGAACACAGAGAGTCGTCTAACGTCCTCAACTCGGAGAGGCCAGATTTCACAAGCATAGAGCAAAACTGCTCTCACCGACGCGTTGTAGATCCGACCTTCTACGGCCAGACTAACATCACGAAGGCGCCATAGATGGCCCAGATTGGCATAAGCCGCTCTGGCTTTCACTATTCGTGCATTGATCTCATCACTCACACCCCCACCAGCACTTATGCAGCTACCCAGATACACGAACTTCTCGACTACGTCTATCTGCTCACCATCCAGGGTGAGTACAGGATTGGAATCCTGCCAGTCTTGTAGAAGTACTTTGCACTTCGAAGGTGCAAAGCACATACCATACCTACGGACACTGATTGCCAACTGATTAAGTGCGGATTGCATGGCTTGGGCATTATCGCACAGTGAGACTATATCGTCCACATACTCAAGGTCGAGAAGTCTTTCTCCAGGTAACAGATCCACACCACCATTACTTACATTCATCAGAGCTGTTTCCAGAATGTCATCGATGGCAAAGTTGAAGAGGAATGGTGAGATTGGGCAACCCTGCCTAACCCCACTGCTCGAATGGAACAATGGAGAGAGGTGGTTGTATGCCCTCACTCTGCCTGAGGTGTTTTTATACAGGGCTTTTAGGATGTTAATAAACGTCTCAGGCACACCCTTCTTCAATAGACAATCCCAGAGAACAGTCCTATCCAACGAATCGAAGGCAGCCCTGATGTCAAGAAACACTACGATTGTTGGCCTTTGAAAAGTATGGCGGTGTTCTAACATTTGGCGGAGGGTGAAGATATGATCAATACATCCTCGACCAGAACGAAACCCAGCCTGCTCCTCGCGAGTCAATCTTTCTCGGGTTTTGAACAACCTACGAAGTATGACGGAAGCCAATAGCTTGGACGCAATCGGAAGTAGACTTATCCCCCGATAGTTGTTACAGGAACGACGTGAACCCTTTTTAAAGATAGGAACAACTATCGACTCATTCCATGACGTTGGTACACTCTCTAGTTCCCAAACCTTTGTAAACAACGTCGTCAATTCCTTAGTCAAAAAGTCACCACCATCTTTAAAAAGAGCCGGAGGTAAGTCATCTGGGCCAGGTGATTTGTAACGCTTCAAGAGTTGGAGTTCCTTGCGGACTTCCTCCTCGTTTGGTGGATCAGTCGTCACCGGCCATGGAGGGCAGGACAGTCTGACCGATGTTGCCGGAGCAGCAGGCCAGTTGAACTGCCCTTCGAAAAATTCTGCCCATCGTCCAAGACGTCAATGGATGTTAGTGATTGGCATCCCATCATCCTCCCAGATTGTTTCACTCACACCAGACTTCTTGCTGCCAGTGGCTCGGATGAGCTGGAAGAGCTTCCGGTAATTACCAGATGCAGCTGCTGCTTCCAGCTCATTAGCACGCTTCGACCACCAGGCTTCTCGGTCCTTACGCAAGCTTTGCCCAATCGAATAAGATTTACGGACTACAGTATGATTTATGTTCGGTTCCTTTTAATGTGTGTTTGACATTCATCCATAATTCTCTTCATGAGTGAAGAAAATTCCTACTAACAACTGGAATACTATATTCCAGACATTAAATGATCTTTGAAAGTACACATATTTCTATATTAAGGTTCATTCCTATAAAATTATAAAACTAGATAGGATACTAGTTGTAATATAATTACAATAAATATCGACTTTTTTTTATACAACAGATCAATTTTGAAGCTTGTGAACCATTGCCATCATCATCACTAACATCAACGAGTCACAGTATCAAATATCCTTCAATCAATGAAAATGATACTAATCAACCTCCTAAACTTCAGATTACGCTAAACAATGATGACAATAAAAATGAAATTACTTCAGATGATAATGAAGATGACGACGATGATGATAATAATAATTCTAATTTCTATCATTATTTTATTGCTGGTAAATATGACCCAGTTAGACAACAAGTACTTACATGGGATACAGAATTAGCTAAAATGCTTAACCTCAAAACACACAAAAATAGATAACAAAAAAATTCCTTTCTTTTTCTCTCTCTCACACACACAAAATATGTCCAAACAAGCATTAAAACAATCAGATTGTATCGCATTTTTTCATTCCTTATCTGTTTTTTTTCTTTCCTGCAATTCTATGATATCGGTACTTGTTTTGTTCCATTTTTCTTTTGTATGTCATCTATTGAACAGTTCAGTAAACTTTCACACCGGTGTGTTTATCACCTTTTTTGTGAAGTGAATTAATCTCATAATCACCATCAAACATTCAATTTTGTGTGTATTTTTATCTTACATTATCGTGTATACCAACCTTCCCCACTCCATTTTACAACCACAAGTAACTTCTACTTACTCATATAATCCGATGATGTTTGATATGGCGTATGATTTAAGCGATATTATTTTTTTTATTACCATGATCATTGTTGAATATGAATTTGTTTTGTGAATGCCTTCTACAACTTGATATATATATCAAGTAATTGTCCTATGATTTCAGCATATTTTATCATGTGCAAAAACAAACTGTTTGGATTTACGAAAGTGTTTTTGTTTTTATTTTAAATGATACATATACACAGAGGGCAAGAAGTGATCAAAATGATAGTACATAACTAGTATGACAATAATATGAGTTGCAAGGAGAATACTTCTTTTTTACAAATAGTTATTTTTTTTCTACAAAGCGGATAGAAATATACGTATTGAAGATCCTGTTTTGTTAACCGGGTCTTTGTTCCATTTTTGTTTTCGGTGGTTTTAAACCGCCTATACCTTTTGATGTTTTGGACTTTTTCGCCTTGAAATCTCGCCAACTTGCAACACGATTAACACGACTTTCCTTTGAAAATAAGAAAAGATTTGTTTGAAGAGAGAAAACGAAATAAACCGTAAGGTATTTCCTCTTAGTTGACGTGCAAAAACAGAAGCAAACAAGCGGTAGATATAGTTAACCTATTGCAATGTCATGGCTCTTGATAGTGAAAACTTGAACCTAGATTCAACATTAAATGTTTATTATTTTTCAATCATCTCGTTACTGATAGTTAAAATAGATATGGATTTATGCATTCAGATTAACAGGGTTTTCATCCAACCCATTAAAATTATTAGCAAGGTGAAACTTAATGAATTGAAATGAAATGATTTAATTTATGGACTTAGTAGGGATTTATGTACTCCATTTTGAGACTGTGTGAGGGCTCGTGGTGAAATTCAGCTCCCCTAATCGGTGAAACACGGTTTGTAGCTCTGATCTATTGGTTAAATGTTGAGTGCTTGGGATGTCAACGGGCATGACTCAGAAAAGAAGCAAGTGATGATTACGTTATTGGTTTGATTGGGTCTCTCATAAACCATACAACTCATCTTGTAGCTAAATGAAATTAATTTTGTATGATTCCTTACTTTATTGCTCATTACCTCTATTAGCATTTTATTACATAATTTGCCAATTTTTATTTTTCCTCGCACTTGCATTTTTGTTTTACGTAGGGTATATATGGAAGCTTTACAGTACCAAGCATTTTTTGTTATTATTTATTCATATATAAATTCCCTGGTATGGCCGAGAGTGGGGTGGGTCCGCCCTCCCTCTTGAAATGCTCTCACGTAGCCACGCGTACACAGTCTCTGTCAGGGAAGTCCTAATCACTGCCTTCTCATGGCGGGGGTGTTGTTTACGAAAATGAGAGGACGAAAAGCGAATGTCCGGCGCTTTAACCGGATTCCAAACTAATGGTGCACATGGGCTCCAGTATCCTGCAGGAACAAATGGCGTATGAACTAATCGTTGGTCACCGGCTACCATGGGACTGCATCTCCTCACGATGCTCCACTGCCTTGTGGATCAGACCTTTAGGTCAAAGGCTCGAGGTGTGGCCCTCTAAGAAAACCACCTGCTTCGATCTGGGCACCCGGGCAGTATCACAATCCTCACACAAATCGAATGATTTATGTGGCGCTTATGTACTTGGTGCCTCCTTGTACCAATGTTTATGTGTTTAAATAAATAAATACGTGTGTTCGACCAAAATATCTTTGAAGCAATGATTAGACGTAGATAGAACATAATGATGCTAGATATGTAGTACTGGTTAAAATAATGTAAATGGGCCGGTGACTTTTGCCAAGGGTTTAAAAGACAGACGGACAAACATCATCAAAATAGACCCGAGCATAACTTACGTTGACGAATTAAAAATAATTTAGTTGCAATGATAAATAGAAAGATTAAACACTGAAATGGTTTAAAAAGGCAGTAGAACGGTATATATGAAGGGATACTTAAATTGAACCTCGAAAGAAAAATAAAGAGTGAATGGGTCTCAAACCACTGATTATGGTTGTCACGTGGACCCCAACCGGGCAGTCTGGATTTACTAGTATGACTCAAACCAACAGTCAACGACTTCACGGACAAGTACCAGTTTTCGGTCTGACTCCCCGTAATTTTCTCCCAACCTAAAGCATTTCCCATCGAGGTAGGCGGTGATTAAGCATACGTAGTACATGTCCTAACCACATCAGTCAGTCAGTCAACAACGTATAACTTTGTATGTACGTACATCAGCTCGAGTTGCCTTACCACATTAGCACATAGATACAATTGTCCATTCAAATCCCATAGTGGTAGAAGTAGTAAGAGTATAAGCAGTAATCGGGAAGATTAGGGTTTGAAGAGGTTATTTAAGGAGTATAATCGAGTGAAATGAATTTGGAAAGAGAGAAAAGGACATGAAGAATTCGGAAGGTTAGAATTTGGAAGAACACAAAGAGTGGATGCACCTGCGACATTGCTAACGATTTTGAGCCATGTAATTCAAGGTCTCTAACTGTCAGTTGCTATCGTCTCGCGGATCCCAACCAGGTAGTCTATACCTACCAACATGGCTCAGTCCACTTGTCAGTGACTTCATGAATTTGTGCCATGTTTTGGTCTGGCCGCCCCTAGCTTTCTTCCAGCCTACTCCTAACCACTTCAGATGATGAAGACTCACTGCACTGTCAAAATGCCACCTTTGTAAAATATCCTATGCCTAACTTAAACTGGTCTGAGCCATAAAGTGACATGACAATTTTCTGGTTGGAATCTGAGAGATAACCGTAATGTGATGTAGCTCGAAATTAATCCCACCGATGTACACGTATTCATTTTTCACTCCTAAAAAATCTTGAACAGTGTATTGGTTTGTAATTTCCATCTTGTTTGAGCAGGAGCCTTTTCTTCTATCTGGCTTTCTATCATCGTTAGTATCATTATTTTACGTCATTCATCTTGTTCTATCATATTTTTGTTATGCTGATTTGAAACGAAGGGAATTGGACTGACATACCTTTAAACTATCCAGTAATTTCTTTCTTTTCGCCTGTCTATCATTAGGACAAAACCACTTCTTGAAATTGGGAATGTACTCGACTTAATTAAAGTAATACTTTAACAAAATTTTAATTAAAAAGTGGTATTTCTAAATTTACTAACGGTCCTGATAAAGACCAAAGCAGTTAGTTGATATATGCAGTCATTTTTTCCATCACCAACCAATTCTATGCGAAACTAAACAGAACTATCAGGTTTGATGAACCCCTGTCCTCATTTGTTAGTGTCATTACGACGATAATTTTAAAGATACGATGAAAAGTCGGCGTTTTTGAGGAGCTTCACAGGAACCATCATGGAAATACATACAAAAAAAGACGAATATACACTAACTTCATAATTCTTTTTCCACTCTTTGTCATACGCCATGAGTTTTCTTCCTTCCTCCTCCTCTTCAGCTTTGCGTTTTCTAATTAAAAATATGAGAATCAACGAAAGGAGTTACAGATGAGTGGACATAAATATTATGTGTGCATGATGAATAGATAATACCCTTAGTAAACAAGAGTAACGAATTCTCCACAGATGCCTATTGATGATACCAAGTGAAAATCGTACTATCCCTCAAGATCGCACGATTTGGAGGATGTGGGCAATGAACTCCTAACCCGGGTTGGATAACAACATGCTTATTATTACTACTATACTTACTATACAAAGTTGGTGGTTTTCATTTGGAGCTGTTTGATGTTGGACAATTTTTAAATGCTTTCTGAATGAAGTCTACTAAAAAATTTCAACTAAATTAGAGTGGAACATATTAAAATTTTGGGCTAGAATACATCACAACGTAAGTCTTTACTCATTGAAGAGTGGTGTGTTATGATTGTCTAATAGGTTCTAAACTACCAACGTAATGAAAGATCAGATAGTAATTTTTCACTGTCATGGATGTTAGGATTATTTTAACTTGTTTGCTATTTACTATGGTAACATATCGTTGCCCTGAAATATGGTAACGAGAACTGATTGGCATTAATGTGATGTTCTACATCGATCATGACAAACTGGACAGGCAGACTAAACATACGTAACATATCACAAACACCACAGTCGACAAAGGCTTACAAACTCACCAAACATCTTCAGAATAATCTAGCCTACATAGATAGGCTCGACCACTGATTATAATATGAGGGATATCCCAAAGATACCTGTAGTTAAATACTCGAATTCGAGTTACAGGACGAATCCTAAGTACTTTTGCTTAGGATATTCCGAAAACTCCATTTTGTCAAAATCCTTACCGAACAAAACTATTTTCCTGTGCGCTCGATGAATGTCTGGGTATATAAATCGTCGAAAAACAAAAATACCTAAGTTTTCCCCTATAGATTTAGAAACGAAAATTTAACTGATATATCTCAAGGCTAGTGGATAGGCAATGGAAAATCAGTTAGGTGGTTTTAGAAAGTAAAAAAAAATAGATGAGTCAAACCTAAAGAGCGTTACCCGTTCCCCAGATAGCGCACGCAAAATTTGTTTAGATATGTGAAGTTACATAAAATTTACACAGAAGTGTGGTACCAGACCAATAAATAGCAGTGTTAGTTCTGAGAAATGCTTTCGAAGAAGTTACACAAGATGACGACCCATGATGTTTCGTGCTCAGAAATTTGGGGAAATAAATGCACACGATTAAGATAAATTTGATGAGAGTAAGTCAAGACTCTAGAGGGACTCCTAAATGTCATTCAGAAGCCTCTGGTATACTAGATCGTTGAATTTTCTGAAGCTTAATAGGGATATATCACTTAAGTCATATGAGATAACAGAGTAGAACCAACGATTACAGCTTAGACATACGAGCAATAATGTTTTTGCACAAGTTGAGTTTTTTTTAAAAAACAAAAATTCGACAAAGACAAACCTTTCTGAACACTGTTTTTGCTCTTCTTCCACCCTTAATCTCTCAAGATCAGCGAACAGTTTGCATGTTTGCACATATATGGCATGACGCCGCTGTAACGGTTAGAAATAACAGACAAGCTACCTTTTCAGGGTCATCTTCTTCAATCGTAATAGATCCGCTTGTCTTTTTAACACGTTTCCGTTTCTCAATCATCTAGAAATGATAGACAGTAGTATGGTTCCTAATACCATTTGTTCAACAAGATCTTTCGCTTCCTCCACTACTTCTTTGCATTTGCGGGAAGTTTCTGGGTCATCCAGAGTCTTGTAAGCCTTGTTTACAGCTACTCAATTATTTCACTTAATAAAATAAGCAATACCTTCGAAGGCTTTCTGAGATCTTTCAATATCATCTGGGTTTTTATCCGGATGTACAAGCAGAGATAGCTAAATTGGAATATACAAAATTTGGGGATGAAACCTGTCTGTATTTCTTTTTTATATCAGCCATCGCTGCATCAGGATCCACTTGTAAAACCTAGGTTGCTTGAACAATGTTACACCAAGCATACATCATATGGATTCAAATTAAAATAAGTTGATCCAGGCCGATTAAGTCTATCTATTTGTTGCTTCGGGGTTAATACTGAATCTCGCTTCTCAATAGCCTTGACTTCTTCGTAAAATGTTGAAAACAACTCATTAGGTCCAGGATTCGTAGACATTAGACTTGAGTAGCACTACACATGTATTTCCGCGTCTCTAATATTCAATACTTTTATGGCAAATTTTCACAGGTGAAATGCTTCAATCGCGCTCGCTTCTTGATGTCAGAGCACGGTTCCAGGTCTTCGATTTCGTCTAATGTGAGTATTCTAGCCAATCTGTTATACTAGTTTTACTAATTTTCTCAGTTACTTGAAAGATTTGTATCCACTCTAAATGAATGCTCTACTCAAGGGATTACTAAAACCAGAAGCTATCGCTTTATAGAACACTCGAGTGGTTGGCTATTCTATAGACGATTTCAGGAATGGAACAGAATTGAGTGAACGAAAAAAAGTAAATAGATAAATAGATTTAACGAGTGGCTAAACACGTAAGAAATCAAATGTTTGGGCAAACAACGGGTGAGAGAATGTGGTAAGGAGCGAGGTGATATAAGGAGCTGATTAATGATAATACGTAATGGATCTCCGTCTAAGTGGCAGGAAAACGTTTTCGACTGTAGGAAGGTGTGCTTCATGTTATATCCTTCCTAAAGCTGAGGGTTAAAACAAGTGGGCTATTAATAGTCAAAGTGATCGTGAGATGACACTTGGATTTATCACTCACACTATCCACGGGGTTTATTTTACTATCCAGCCTTCTTCTGAAAGGCTATGTTAGTGTTGCTTCTGATAAAGAGCTTTATAGTTTGAAGATTTTGGTCCTAAAATAGTTTCCATGGGCTTTTGTGAGAACTCTTTCATGTTTCGCTCTAAATGGAAATCCTCTGAGATGTAACTTCGTACTAAACTGAGTTAGTTATATTTTGGTATGAAAAGGATCATGAGATATATGATAAATCATAATTATATCCAATTTAATGATTCTGTACTACACAAGTCGTAAGTTTAGGCCTTCAAGAGGGTCTAATCAGGGTTCATTTATCAGTTCGAGTACACGTTTAGTTCCCTTTCTTTGAACACATCCCACAACATCATAATGCTTTCTTAGGCAGAGGATCATAATGCAACAGCTTTATCCAGATGAAGTCTTAGATAAGCGTTGAAAATAGTTTGTAAAAAGTTCGGAGTTCAGCTACCTAATGCTTATTTAAGAAACTCCAAGAAAGAATACGCTATGTATAGTGCCATTAAGAGCCACCCGAAATATGACAGAGTGATACCCCAGGCCTTCAGTAGTGGAAATAACGTTGATAACACTGAACAAGTATGGAATGGGCGTAGTATTGCTATTGTTTGCCATTGGCATCCTGAGTTAATTGGTGTTGAGAAGAAGGAGATTATTTGCAGTTTGGTCTTGTGTACTGTTCAAGTCATCTACGACAGTCAAGATGTCGTCCAGGTCAACTATTTAGCTTCAGATCTATTGGACGTCTATGTAAATCAGGGTTTGAGATTCTACATGGTACGTCAACAGTAGACAATAAAATGAGAGCTTGAATGGCCAAGTGTTTGTTATTGAGAACGGATTAGAAAAATGGAGATTTATATATTCCAGGCAGCTAACAGGTTTGTGTTATACGGTCTGACTAAAAGTGGTGTTATGAGTCAGAAACGAACGAGTTATTAAGTTAGTGGTTATGCGGAGATTCATCCAAAACTTTCCTATGACCTTCAGTGTTGCAGAAGGCAAGGAAATCATTATATTATTGGGGGATTTCAACCTGATGCCCTGTGTTTATACATGTATCAAAGAGCTAGGTTTGGAAGCATTAATCGGTATTATCTGTCTAACCCATATGTTCTCGTTTCAAAGTCACACCAGTGCTTTGTAAAAGCCTTATAAGAACGATAACATTCTTATCGACACACCGATAAAGACCTAAGAATCACGTAGATCGACCACCCTTGCATGACTTACCAAAGCAAAGTCGATAATGTCACAGCGTTGACCTGTTTTATCCAGAGCTTATATTCTTAATATATTGCGTATGATTTGAGCACTCGAACGCTAGAATCATCCAAGTTGCAGATAAGAAGACAGAAGAAGACTGGAGAATGTGTCTGTTGGGCAGGAATCAAAATGCACAGCAAACAGTGTGTATTTATAACAAAAGCCGTCCCAACATGACCGTTACCGACTTCCAAATTTTTTTCACCGTCTTAGGTTCTATGTAAACCTTGTAAATTAGTGTACACTCAAATTGAAAAATAGAAATTATGAATTAGTGTTGTTCTACTGTTGCCATGCAGGAACAATCAACCGGTATGGCATGGTTCAGACTTACAGGCGTGGTCATCCAATATAGCTCATACCTTTCTACATTCAACATGTTATTTTTTCCCCAGCCGAAATGTGTTCTCCAACAGTACTAAACATCATACTGCTGATCTTCATGATAAGATGAATCAGTATAGACGATGGTGCAAATTCTACATTAGATCTTGTAGATTAGGCAATCACGTCATTACAAATCTCCGATTTTGGGGTTTAGTCTAATATAATAGCAACAAAGATAGACTTACCAATACCGAAATAAATTATAAGCTGTTATCAAAAAAATATTTTAATACATCAAAATACTGATAATTTAATGCATTTCGTAATCGCACCTGGCAGATGAGCATGAGTGCGTCCAGCATTGATGTGTCCTAAATTCATTGTTGTGTTTCTTAATGAACCATTATTTATATTCGTTGAACAATCCAGCATTCGAGAGATTCTAATATATCTGTGCCGTTAAACTTTTCAGTAATTCCTTTTCGATTTTACATGAAGCTGAAAGATGACAATGAGCAATAACTTCTTTGTAATAATTTAAAAAATGAACGGAAAGGTATGAAGGCTGCACTATTTTTAAAAATATAGGCACAAAAAACAAACTTAATATACCTGAAGATACTTTTTCTAATAAGTACGGATACCAGTTATAATAACATTTTGTGAGACGTGTTGTTTGTGCTAATTAATGATTTCTTTTGTACACGACTCCACAGATGATTAAAATTCCAAATACATAAAGTCAATTGGGCCCATTGTGTCAATGACTTCGAGAGAACACTTATACATACAGAACTCCATAATTAGCGATTATCACTAAGCCTCATTGTCACAACCGGAAAACATATTCCTAGCAGTCAATGATCGATATTCCACCGAAAAAAGGATAGATTGGTTTAATTTGCTTTAAAATTAAGTAGCTAACCAACAAATAAGAACTACCCAACCAATCACCGACTATCGACAGGCAGCGTTCCTAAAAACCAGAAATTCCACTCCTGTCTCATTGATACAAGACAGAAGTAGTCAATTCGTACAGTAGTAACTGAGATACAGTAATACATTATAGCGAAAGCAGAATGATAACGTTAAGTAAAATAGAGATGAAACGGGCATTCGAAGACTCATCAACATCAGGAAGTTATCTGTTTTTAGAATATGTAGATAATGTATTTGAATACAAATAAAAAATATGAACGTAGTGTGCACAAGTACAGAGAGAGATAAAAGAATCATCATTTTGAAAGGGATTCAAAGCAAAGTTCATATATCAAGTGCGTTCATGTGGATTTTCACATAAAAATAAACGCAAAGACACCAAAAACTCCTTCATTGTACTTGTTCTGTTCATTAATGGTGACCTTTAAGTAGTAAGGAAATACTATTTGAAAACCTCATTTGCTTGATGGAATCTTAGATTACTGGGACCGAATGAGAAGTTGTGAAGTGAAGGATCTGGGTTTTTGAACCTGATATATTTGGGAGTTTATCTGGTCATAAATGTATATTCAAGTGTGTAAATACATGTCAAAATAAGATTAGTAAATAATGACAAAAATGTGGGTTATACAAGAGACAACCCCACGGACTTAGAGTACCTAAAAGTAACATCTAGGTACGAATGATTACATTGAAACTCTCTGAGAACAATGAGCAGAAGATGATAAGGTTTAGAAGGAAGATTATACAAATAAGTGGGTACAGAGGTATATCAACAAGTGAAATCATTTAATGCAGCATACATGCAAGAAAGGCATATTGTTTAAACGTTAAAAGTATTTTACAGGTAATAACCGAACATACTGACGTTGGATGCCACATAAAAGATAGATATTAAGGTGCCTCGGGTTTTAGGGTTTGACAACACTTATCCGTAACACCTTTACAATTTGAGAATACCATCTCAGTCAAATCAGAAGTCAGTAATGGATGAGCTCGAAAAAAATATTTGGAGGATTGCCAATATGTTGAAGAGCGTTTGATCCAATCTGGCTAGTAGTTTCAAGGGATAAGTAGCACAAAGTACCCATTTTTGATCTGGTGTGGATGCGTGACCGAACGCCTTCAGTTAGCGTGTTTCCACTAAAATAATGACGAAAACCAATCGTCTTTCTACCTAGTCCTCATGAAGCAAACGCAAAGTTATCTTGAACGTATATTTTGTTAAATAGCTGATACACCAATCCACCTATTTAGTCACTGTAATTCGAAGTCTTAGATATGACCTTGTGCGGGTTTACTGAAAGTACTATAGACCAGGAGATCTGACGGGCTGATTGTTTGGCGCCGGTTACAATCGCTGTTTACTACTGACAACTGCCCATATGTTTCAGTTTTTTAGAAATGCTTTAGATACACAGAATGAAGAACTGAAAATTTTACATAATGAAGTAACAGAACTAGAAAGAGTAAACAGTGAAATACTTGATTTTGTTCATAAGAATGGAAGATTACCAGAAATTGTGAGTCGACCGATTCTCATTTTACTTTTAAAGATAAATGAACGAGAAAATCTTGAATTAGCTTCTAACAAGGATGATATAGGTGTTTATCGCGGATCCGAAAGCAATCATGGTGACAAACATCAACAGCTTGAGGTATTCCTGAAGTCTATAAACATGTCGAGATTTTGCTATAACCAGGTCTCAACTTTTTACAGATTAATATAATTCCATCCAGAGTCCTATATTTCACCTTCTAATTATTTTGGGCTCGTCGATAATTTTAGATTTTTCATATAGAGAGTAGTTCTGGTTATATCCTATCATCTAAACAAAATGTTAGTTATTACATGGTAGTAAATTTAAATTCTCTCTGTCACTGTGAAAATCAAGGGCGTTACTAGTTTTCATCTGTTTTAATAGGGTCTAAAATTCATGTGTGAGATGATCTTAGGATACAAGTAAATAATATAAGAAACCCAGGTGAGACTATAATTTATTGACGAACCAATCAGATATAAGATAACAGGTCATGGATTTTGGAGC